GACCAAGAGACTTGCTCAGCATTATCTAGGAAGTCTGGGACTGATCCAGGAACCAAATGCAGGTCTCTTGACTCCCAGTCCAGCATCCTATCTTTTAGCCCAGGGGCGGGCAAACTTTTTGGCCTGAGGGCCGCATTGGGTTTCGGAAATTGTATGGAGGGCTGGTTAGGGGCGGCTGTGCCTCCCCAAACAGCCAGGCATGGCCTGGCCCTCGCCCCCTATCCACTTCTCACCCCCTGACACGCCCCCAGCCCCCGGACCCTTGCCCCATCCAACCACCCCTTCTCCCTGTCCCCTGACTGCCCCCCGCCGCCCCATCCAACACCCCCTCCTTCCTGACTGCCCCCCCGGGACCACTGCCCCCATTCAACCCCCCTGTTCCCCATCCTCTGACTGCCCTGACCCCATCCACGCTCCTGCCCCCTGACCACCACCCCGAACTTCCCTCTATCCAAACCCCCAGCTCCGTGCCCCCTTACTGCGTTGCCTGGCGCACCGGTGGCGGCTGCCCGGCTGGAGACAGCCACGCACTGTGCAGCACAGAGCACCAGGTCAGGCCCTGGCTCTACTGCTGCGCTGCCCCAGGATCTCATAGCCCCGCCACCCAGAGTATTGCTCCTGCAGCGCAGTGAACTGAAGCTGCGGAGGAGGGGGAACAGCAAGGGAGGGGCCGGGGGATAGCCTCCCGGGCCAGGAGCTCAGGGGCCGGGCAGGAGGGTCCTGCGGGCCGGATATGGCCCGCGGGCCGTAGTTTGTCCACCTCTGTTTTAGACCATTCTTCTGTTTCACATTGGTTTAAATGTACTTCTCGGATATGACTTTCAGTATGCATCAGCAGATGCCAGTACAGAAAATATGACCTCATTGTTCCGTGGGCCTACACTAATATAAAGCATTTGCAGCATATTAACCTTTAAGATATAACCCATTTTTGAACAGTACAAAGTAACTTGAGATGGGACGTAACACAATATGATATGAAAGTGGCTTCTGTCTACAGTCGCGCACACACAAACACACGGGGATATAAGAACAGACAATTTGCAACTTTCATATAATAGTAGGGATTTAAAAGATGTATAGGTCAGGTTATGCTTTGCCATGGCAATATCCATGTCTGGGCAGATTTAAGCAGACAACTCAGTTTCAACTTAAGTTTCCTGACTAATTATCCCATCATTGAGATGGGAGGGGGGCTAGTTTTCTGGCCCAAGATATGTGTGTGGTTTGGGGCCATCCAACCCAGTACCATCAACCCTTGTGGAATCCTGCAGATACTCACACATCTATGGTGGGCCACTCTGAAGCATCTCCTGGACCTGGCAGAATTGTTCCTAAAATAACTTTGCTGACACAATCTTCTCATTTGTGCCTGGGCCAACCCTTCTCAATGGCACGGAGTAGGCTCTCCAGGGAGCTGATGCTGACTGTCAGCATTATTTTCTGAGGAAAGAATTCCCCGGGGCTAGACAGAGCATTTCTCTCTCCCTTCTCTCTGTGGGAGCCTTGAAAGGACAGAGATTCCACAGGTTTAGGGAAATAGAGAATACTTCCTCTTAGATTTCTCTCATCTCCTTTGTCACCTGCCCTCACCCTCATGCTTTTACCAGTCAATCTTGTCTTCCCTTTTAGGGTGGTGATTGACTAGGTGAAATGACGCAGTCTAAGTTTCAGCCTTTGTTCTTTTAGTTGTAAAAATGTTTTTCGGTGTCGCCAGTTGTTGGTGGGTTATGGAAAGTTGAGTATCTGGCTGCTTCCGGCTTCTTCCGTGACCCTTGGTCTATGCACTTGCACTGCTTACTGTTTTAATGAATCCTCCATTGCTTCTTAAATTAGTAGGATATTGGGACTTTACTGTGATTGGCTCATGGGTACTGAATTCTTTCACTCTCCCCCTTTTCTAAATTTATCTTGATTTTATTTGCCCATGGTGAAACTCAACCTCTAAAAAAAGTTTTGTTTCATAGGACATGTGTATTCACATATATATGTGTATATTTGTGTACACACACATATATCAATTGAGCATTATTAGTTTCATATTTACCTACTCTTGCTGCCGTTTTTACCCCTTCTTTTTCACCCCTTGACTGGTTTAATTAGTTAAATTTTTAAAAAGTAAACTTTTATTTTAGTGATATTTAAAAAGCATATTTTAAACAGTTTGTATTTTGCTGTACAGCATAGTGCTTCAGGTGTGCAAAGGTGGGAGAGGTGTTGGAGTTGAATCATTGATAAATGTTTTTTACTTAAGCAAAGGAAGCGAGGCATCTTTCAGCAAGCTAGTTATCCATCATGATGGCTTTAGTTGCAAAAAACTGCTCATGTATTGTAAGCAGATCAAGAAAGGGGGACAGGTGATATCTGCTTTGGAATTAATATGGGGATGGGGTGTCTATTGTCCGTGCCATTTATTTAATTGAAGATAAAGTTCTTGGACTGAAGTGTGAACTGAAACTGTGGTCAGGGAATTACATTAACTACTACTCCCTCCTCAGGATTACCACTGTATGTATTTTTAGGTCTAGATCAGTGGTCTCAAACTCAGATGATCTCGAGGGCCACATGAGGACTAGTTAGGGTGACCCAGACAGCAAGTGTGAAAAATCGGGACAGGGTATGGGGGTTAATAGGAGCCTATATAAGAAAAAGACCCAAAAATCGGGACTGTCCCTATAAAATCGGGACATCTGGTCACCCTAGGACTAGTGCATTGGCCTAAGGGCTGCATCACTGACACCCCTCACTTGCTGCCCCTGGCCCCGCCCCCACTCCACCCCTTCCATGAGGCCCTGCCCCCATTCCAACCCCTTCCCTGAAGTCCTCACTCCAACTCTGCCCCCTCCCTGCCTCCAGGGGATGCAGGAGGGGTGTGGGGTGTGGGGGGGGCTCAGGGCAGGGAGTTGAGGTGCAGGAGGTGTGCAGGGTACAGCAGGGAATTGGGGTATGGGGTGTAGGAGGTGTGCAGGGTGCGGCGGGGGCTCAGGGCAGAGAGTTGGGGTGCGGGAGGGGTGAGGGGTGCAGCAGGGGGTTGGGGTGCAGGGTGTGGCAGGGGGCTCCAGGCAGGGGGTTGGGGTGCAGGAGGGGTGCAGGGTGTGGCAGGGGGCTCCGGGCAGGGGGTTGGGGTGCAGGAGGGGTGTGGGATGTGGCAGGGGGCTCCGGGCAGGGGGTTGGGGTGCAGAAGGAGTAAGGGGTACGGGCTCCGGCCCGGCGCTACTTACCTAGAGCGGAACAAGGGTGGCAGCGCCGCGCACCGCAGCCAGGGCGGCAGCGCCGCGCACCGCAGCCAGGGCAGGCTCCCTGCCTGCCTGCCCGCCCTGTCCCTGGCCCCGTTCTGCTCCAGGAAGCAGCCGGAGTCCCTTGGGCGGGGGGGCGGGGGGGGGGGAAATGGCACCAGGTGCTGCTCTTGCTGCTCCTCCAGGTACCTCCCCCAAAGCTCCCATTGGCTGCGGTTCCCAGTTCCTGGCCAATGGGAGCTGCAAGAGCATGAAGCCCTCTACTCGCCTCCCACGCCCCTGCCCGGGGCTGCAGGGACATACAGTAGTTCAGCTGCTTCAGGGAGCAGTGCGGGGCTCGCGGCTGCACGGGGTATGTGGGGGGGGGCGTGGGGAGCTTGGCGGGCCGCACAAAAGAACCCCACGGGCCGCATGCGGCCCGCGGGCCGCGTGTTTGAGACCCCTGGTCTAGATCGTGTTTGCTGAATGGAAGTGAATTAATGAAGTGAATAGAACTCTCTAAGTGAGAGTGTTGTTATGGGGTGTATGATGTGTGTTATTGTTCACTCACCAAAGAATTATAATGCACCATTTGCATGGAATTTTGTATGACAATCTAGGCTTCTTGAAATTCTGTTCCTCATAGGTTTAAGCATTAGGTGCAAGGGGGTCATATTCTTCCCCTCTCCCAAAGTTTTAATATCCTCACCCTCAGGGTGGCTATAAGAATCGTGTGTTCTCCTCTCTACACATTTTTTTGTTTTAATGTGGTTGCATCACTAATATTCCCCAATAATGGACCAAATTGAAAAATGCCCATCTTGCCTTTCTTAAAACAATTTAAAAAGGTTATTTCCTGTCTCTTTATTCCTCTCCCTGCTCACTCTACTTAACTAGCACTGGTGTCTTTTGTTTCCCTTTATACTATTGGAGTTAAGAGCCTTCTCTTCTGTACCTCCTGCATACTATGTCTCTCCACTCCAGGATCATTTAGGACAACATCCTCAGCTGGTGTAAACTGGCATTGCTCCAACTGAAGTCAGTGGCACTACACCAGAGTACACCAACTGACAATCTGCTCCCCAATCTCTCTTCAAATCCACTAAAACCATATATTTTATTCCTTGCGTATAACTCTGAGAGAAATTCTCTGTTGTTTACTGTACACAATAAGAGCTTGATTTATACAGCCCCCCCTTAATAAAACGAATAGGCTTACATGAAGTCAAACTAAGGATCTGAATGAGGATTTCATATCACTAGGGGTTTCAGGATTGGTGTCTAAAATTGTAAGTAATACTGAATTACAAAATGCTACAGAATGTGTTTATGAATAGGGTTGGTAATGCGTTCTTGGCTTCTTCTGTTGTTAGTTTATTAATTAAGTAAAAATATAGTAACAAATATGTTTTTAAATATTTCTAACCAGAGCTGCCATAGAGTGGAATAAAGTTGATGTGCAAGGTTACAGAAAAATGATGAACAATGTAATTTAGGTGAAGTTTTCCCATAAAGCCAAAATCATTGGCTACATTGCTACTTGTTTCAATGGGACAATTGATGCATAGGTTGATTTGATTCACTGACATGGTGTCAGGCTGTCATGAAACGCAACAATAAAGCTCAATGCCTTTAAACATTTTTAGGAAATATGGCAGAGAGAGAGCTCTGCCAAGACGGTTACCACGGCAATGTCGAAGAATGCTGCAGTGACATGCGAGCAGAGCATTCTCCCAACTAGTGAAAAATGATCTGCTTTTCATGTGCTTCTCTTTCCATAGGGAGAAGTTGTCTGTGGCTCAGCTGCAGCGGGAAGTTGCGCGAAGTAAGAGTGAAGGGACAATGGTAAGTGTTGGCTAATATCTGTTTTGCAATTCCATTTGTACCCTTTCTATTCAGGCCTCAGACACATTTCACCTTCCTGAGGGTGGCCACTGAAATATTAGCCTTGCATTAGGCTTAATGATGTTTTTGCCAGTGATGATTCTGGAAAAAATCAAAGCTATTCCAGAAACATCCTTGCCTTGGAAATACTTGTATTAGGCTGAGAAATAGTCTCCTTTGCCCTGGTGATGGGCTCTGCTGGAAATTCACACTGAGACTTAGGGAAGCATCACTGTGAACCTAAATAGGCAATATCAGATTGAGAGATTAGGTTTTTTTAGTCATCAGTTGCCCCTCCCAAGCTGTGAAAAATGGAAAAATTAAAGTAAGGAAGATTAAAGAAAGAAAAGAAGACCAGTTTGATAACTTTATAAATTTTAAGCTCTTAATTTATTTTTTGCTTTTCATTGGTTGTCTGTTTTCCATGTATCAAGCTTGTGGGATGAAGATTGTGAGTTAAAAACTGGCATGGCTGGTTTTAGTTAACTATAACGTCAATTGATAGCATGCCTTATTGTAACCCACACACCTCCTGGGTGTGGTGTTCTGTCCCATCTAGTGGCACTGAGACCACTTAGAGAGCGAGAGAGATTAACGAGTCTGCTCTACAGCCTTAACAAAGAGCCATATGGCTTTTGGCTCATGTGGTAGAGGCTCATGCACTAAGTTCCAGAGGTCCCAGGTTCAATCCCACTTGCCGACAACCAGGGTCTGTCGGCGTTACGTTTTCATACTAAAACAACATCAATTTTGCCCCAACCATTTATTGACACTGCCTAATTTATTTGAAATCCAGAGAACCTTTCCTATCTGAGAAGGATTCTATTTATCCCTGTCTTCACCTGAAAAGTCTGAGGGACCCACTGGATAAAGCAGACATGTTCAGGATGCCTAAAACAAAACCCAGTTCCCTTGGACATGTGCATGAGGCTGCCATTGACTAAAATGGAGTCATTTAGTTGGATCTGAAGACAGAATTTGGCCCATAGTTTGTTAAACTAAGTGGAGAGAGTCTGAAATAGAGACCCATATGAGGAGTGCATGTGGGCAAGTAAAAACTCCATTAGTCCTGTGATGCAAAGTCTTGAAAACCTTAAAATTTCAACAGTTCCCTTTTAAATATCTATCTATCTAAGCCACATTTAATGACCGGTATAATAAAATGAGAGAGATTTGGAAGGCATAATTGGCAGCATGCAGATAAAGATGAGTTTGATTCTGAAGCTGTGGTTTTAATGGAAGCTGAAGCTAGACAAATTCTAACTGGAAACAAGGAGCAAATTTTTAATAGTGTAACTGACACTGCAATTAACCATTTAAAAAAAACTTACCAAATTGTTTTGGTGGATTCTCCATCACTGGCAATTCGTAGATCAAGATTGGGCTAGAGCATATCGTTTAGAAAAAAAACATCCAAACAGGAATTAATTCACGGAATTCCAGTGTCCTGTGTTATGCAGACAGTCAGACTAGATGGTCACAATGGTCCCTTCTGGCCTTATAAATTATGACTCTACTGTATGTATAGGAGCAGAGCTCATATACAAGCTGAGGAAACCAAATATTTTCCAGTGTTAAATCATAATCTAGGAGTCTGTAACTCAGACAAAACTCCCACTGACTTCAGAGAGAGTTTTGCCTCATGAAAGATGGTAAAGATCAGGCCTCAGGTTTGCCACTGTGTATTAGTTTTCAGTATAAATAATTTTACTTAAGTACAAAGTGCTGTTAACTTGATTGAAATGTTTCCTTTAATTTTATAAACTAGTTTTCCTTGTAGGCATAGAACTAATGCAGTATCTTAAATGTGAAGTACTTCTTGTGGGATAATTCTAGGCTCTTTAAATAAGTAATATTAACCTTCTAGACATACATACTTTTTGAGTACATGTGATTCCAGAGCATGTTTATCGTACGTCAGGTAGAAAAATCTATGCTATTTGGATTTGCTTCCCTACACAGGGGGATGCTAGTTAATTTCAGCCATAACTTATGACCAGCTGTTGTCTCCTATGTACAGCCCAAGGAATTATAGACAGGAAAGACCTGTTGCGCTATCTTGTCCACCCACCGTTACAGGAATCGCTGCAGTGGGGATTATTCAGACAGAGCAATAATTAAAAATAAACATTAAGCATGTGTTTTAGATCCTATTTAAGCTGTGATATCTTTGCTCTAAATATGAGTTATACACATCTGTATAAATAACATGTGGTAAGCAATAATGAAATGCATCTTTATGAGGAGAGAATGTTGAGTGCCACTCATGGTGAGGTATCCGATCTTTTTGCGAGAGAAGAGATCAGGAAGAAACAGTATATGATACCAAGCTATCAGACCCACATAGGAAATGCATTTTTGTAAGTCCTTGGCTCCCAGAGTTACACTATCTCAGTGTTCAATTTATTCCTGGCAGTAGATATACCAGGAAATGGTGAGGTGAAAGGATTAAAATGAAGATTAAAATCAAGATAAATTGTCTCTTCTAAAAAAAACATTTTACTGATATAACAAATACATTTTTACACAAGAATTTTATAAAAACTGGTGTGTCACAACTAGAGTTCAGTGAATGTAGGGAATACATTATTTGATACATATGAAATGGAAAAATAGGCTAAATTTATCTGTGAACAGTTTGATTTGCTTAGATTTATTTATTGTTCACAGTTTTTTTTACTGGACCATCTTCACAAATTGTCTTTTATGTCTACATGGGTCTCACTTAGGGTGGGCCTTAGGCATTGATTTACCATGTTTCCTGCTGTGGATTTAAGTAATGCAAAGTGATTATCATGGCTTCTTCCTTGTATCCATCTATTTCACACCTGCACCCTTTTGTTAGAAACACACCATGTTAACTGAATATAAGGTCCCCACTGAATAGGTTTCCACCCTTCTGTAATCCTCCTGCCTTAGATTGATTTATGAATGTATCAGATTCTTTGTTAGCATGTAAACCACTAATTAATTTAAAGTCCTCTGTGGAGAAATTAAAGCCCTGGTTAAGACTTTCAACAGGCTCAGATGGTGCTAATAATGGGAAAACAAGTTATATTAATGAGTTTTTAAGTGATCCATGCTATTATTGCTTTACAATGAATTTTTAGCATAAACTAGTAGACACTGTAAGTTTAAAAAAAGGGGGGAAGGGTGAACTACCAGAAAACAATTCGATTGTTATCATAAACTGAGTTGTATTTTATCATTCTTGTTACAACTTCCTTGCATTAGTTCTTTGTGTATACACAAGAGTTATGGATGAGAGAACAAGGATAAAATATGAAACAAACTGGATCTTTACCTAAAACTCAAACCAAATCTTTTATTTATTTATTCAGGTTTGAAAAAGTTTGACTAACTCTTTTTGTGAAATCTTTGTCATCTTCATGTGACTCTGAACTTGTCTGTTCCATCTGGAAGCAGAAGTGCTGAAGTACAGAGAGTGGTTATGATCCAAAGCCTACTGAAATCAGTGGGATGTCTCCATGGTTTGAACTTCTCAAATTTCAGGGAGAGGGTGTGGTTGGTTGCGTCCCCCCCTCGCTCAGATCTGTGTTCAAACTCGGTGTTCATTTGAAAATTCAAAACAAAACAGGTAATGCTGTATACTTTTTTTAGGTTCATTCAGGACCAATAACAGTAGCAGGGAATAAAACTGGAAATTAAAGTAAATTCCAGAAAAGGTCCCCTGTAAATATTTTTTAAAATTCAGCATTTCTTGCTCCCTGTCTATAGAGAGAGTCTTATCACTCCAAGACATTACAGTGTGGACTAAACTGACTCCATCATTATGGAGGCTCCTGTTTTCACTCCTTCTCCTTCCTCTCCTGGCTGCCTGTACCTCTCTCCAGCTGTTATCACTGTTCTGGCACTCTGTCTCCAGCTAGGGAACTGAATATGTAGCCTTCACCAAGGCTGATATTAATGCTGCTCCATTAATCAACTAGCAGGTAATGCTTCTAAAACCTGCGTGGTCAGCATTTCCAGATAGCCAGCATGTGACATCTGCAATGTGCCTGGTCCTTACCAAGGAGTGGGAGTCCTGGGTTTGCTCTTGAACTTGGGTCTTACACATGGCAGCATAATGTGCTGCCTGCAGCTTGGAAACACTTTTCTATCAAAGAAGTGATAAATCTGTGCAGTAGCCTTGAGCAACTGGAAAGTCTGTTGATGCAGAAGCATTGAGGTCATTCAAAAATAGATGTTGTTTAGCAGTAAATGAAGTGTTAAAATATGAGCTAGAAGAGGCTAAATTATCTTTTTGCAATTGCAACATTTATTTCCTTGCATCCAGTAACCCAGCTATCTGTGCTTTAATTAAAAAGTAGCACAAAATGAGGCAGACTCACTATTTCCGTTGAAGTTCCCTGACTTGAAATTGAGTTATATTCACCTTTTGTTTAAATATTACATTCTTTCAGATTTCAGCATGTTGTATTTTGTCATGGAATAGCTGCATATTTAAATGTATCCCTTTGAACATTAAACACCCTAAAAACAAGATGAAGCCTGCTCATCCATCCATCTTGCTCTTTTTTCTCTGTTAGACGGTCTATTTACACTACTTCCTACCTCCTCATTAGAGCTACATCACATAGTCCTCATGCATGTAGAAACTCAGTGACTTTAATGATAGTTATTATCACTGATAATGACTGACCAATTTCTTTAGAAGTTTAGCTTAATGCACCTGGACCTCATTAAATTCTATCCTTCAGTGGGCCAAATGTCCTTATTTACAACTTTGCAACCTTATACTCGTTCATGGGGTTTCAAATATGTTTACTGAGATAAGGATTTGGCCCCTTAATTCTTCATGTTAAATATGTTCCTCTTTATTTGCTCCAAATATATAGATGTACAGACAGTTTGTTTTTACTGGTAGTTTCTTAAGAAGAATATTCTTCATAATTTAAAAACAGAATGTTTGTGGCATTTCAGCACTCATTTAACAACAG